AATGTTCCACCTGCGGCCTTCCCGCCAGTGGCTTATTCATTCCCACATCGATCACTGCTCTATCACCACTGGTAAAGCAATGCAGCCGGACGCAAGCTCGTGCCGCGCTGCGCTGGCACCCTCCGACAAATTGCAATGTTACAAACTATACATGCGCTTCTTCTGGCATACTTTCATGTCGTTCCGTGTTTACACGTTTATAATGGGTTCTAACTGGGGGTAGCAACGTAATTAAAGATTTTGTTAAATATTTGAATCACTTATTACCGGAAAAATAGAAGAATTATTAGACACATGTGAGCATAGTGAAGAGAGTCTCAACTTCAACGAATGATGTATGTACAGGATAAAGGAAGAGCTAATCACCAAAGATCACTTATAAGCAAGGTGAGGGAATCGAGTAGTTGTTTCTATTCGATAATTACTCATTTCAATAGATAGGTTAAGCATTACATTATTCGTACACACATGTACATACAAACTCAGACACAGCTAGTAAAGCATCTTTGATATGAATCTATCACAATCTGAGCGAAAGCACCTTGAAATTGCATGGCATGGCAATGCTGTACAGTAGTACTACTCTTACAGTAGTCTCTCCACCAAGATAGAGCTCTACGGGGAAGGTTATAGTGAGCAAATCCGTTGACTAGCATTGCCCAGCATTTAGTAATGCCTTCAAGCGGTCTTGAGCATCACCGTCAGCCCAGAATGCATCCTCATCATCATGCATACAGTAAGCTCCCGATTCATGGAAACCAGACGGGCATTGTGAGACTGAAAATGACAGCAGTAGGCGGAAGTATTACATTACAGTTTAATAAGGATCAACTCACAGCATCGCCCGTAGAGTAGTTGTCCATCACGGCACTGACATTGGGCAACATTTTTGTCGCTTTTCTTCCGTTCACAGTATGTATTTGCACAACGCGATGTACACTCTTCATCGGTTTGGCATCCATACTCACCTGGCCACAGCTTCCTGAACACAAATGTCAGTGGAACGTAGATCAACGCAAAGCAATGGAGAAGAAAACTTGATGTCGTCGCATTCGACAGGGGGCTGTAGACTGCGTGAATGAGCTAGCTCGCCCGCTGTGTATCTCCCAGGCTTGTCGTGTCTCCTGGAACGCCGTTACTGTTTGCGCCGAAACGCTCAGCAGGCAGGCGGAGCTATATTCACGTTCTTCGCCTAACCTGGTTCAGTGCCTCGCGGAATTTGCGACGTTGGATTCGCACGTGATCGTGGATGGTTATCCATTTTCGCGATGGGGTTTCACATATTGTCGGGCGCGTACAGGTACTACCAGTTACAGCTAAACAAAGTCGTTGGTGGTGATCATGTATACTATGAGAAAAGGTATCCAAACCGCACACACGACCACAGCTTCTTTCAAAGGTAGATGAGAGAGAGAGCGCATTGCTGCGGCTACGCTTACGCTAAGTACAGTGGTCTGTGCCCTCTCGCTCAATAGGAAAGCGGCGATGTACCTATTTGAGACCTTGTAAAGCTTGTGCAAATGTCACAACAACTCAGACATGCATATGTTTATATCCAGCCCACGCCAGGTAAGCTACCTTCACTACTTTTCCCTCATCGGCTCAAGTTTTCACTTGCACGCAATAAGAGGCACGAGCCCCGACACGGGCAGCACAGATCCCTAGATAGAAACCTGTCGGCGGTTGTGGCAGTCTGGTCGGAGCGTCGTTGCCTACTCGCGACTGTCACCAGCGCTAGATGCTATCACTATTTATTGCCACCGACACCTCTCCGCCCCTGCCCCTGCTAAGTACTGCACTGACATCTCCAGAGGCCCCTCGCGCACAGACAAACAGGCTGGTTCATTATTGGTGGCGCATGATTCTCAGGAGTGAGTGATGGTCGCGGTAGGAAGATGTGCACTTGTTATATAAAAACATTTACTGGGGACTGTAGATATAGAAGGAAAGCTCTGTGTTGATACTTTTTTGAAGCCAGTATACTTGCCCATCATCTGAAGATTGGTCACCCAGTGATGTGGAGCAAGTGTGTTGATACTCCCTGTCATGACCTCAGGTTCATGATAATCATATTATTACTTCTTCAACAGATTGCTGAAACGTTAATTCACAAAAACAATCAATACAAGATTCGAGCAGTGGAGCCTCGCAGCCCCATAACGAGCGGCATCCAGCCAATAGGCGAAGCCACCTGTGCCGCCCCACTTTTTTGGAAGGGTACAAACTACCGCGCTCCGGGCATGTTCGAGGCAGTTCTTCGCTCGGTTCGCTCACAACTGCGTCACCTCTCCAACAAGGCGACTCGGTCGCTCCTTCAAATAACCCAAGAAGGGTGTGACGTCAAATAACCCCTAAGGGACGCCACTGCGCATCTAGCCAAGAAACTCAACACGCATGGCAAGGGACAGGCACTCCAGCGGACTCGCCACTTAATCGATACACACGACACTAACACTGTTGTTTCATTAACACACCCAATACACAACACGTTCCCTTAGACCAGGCGACAAGCATTTCGATTGAGGATTTTTGGTCGGAGCTTTACTACGACCCCCCCCCCCTTTTTCAGGGGCTGGTACGACCCCCCCCCCCATGCTCGTACGATGGCTGACATGGCTGACTGTGGTTGTGGTTTATACTCGGCGAAAAAGTTGTCGAGCGGGGGGGGGGTATGTAGTAGGCATGCGACGTACATCGCAATCTTCCACGACGCTGATGCTTCAAGCGGGAGCCTACAGTTTGAATGACGAAGTGAGGTTTGGGTTACCTGTGAACTCAGCTTGAGGGAGCTGTGGGTCGTGAAACTGCTGGATGAAGAAGCTGCTTCCTCGGTCAATCCGTACGCAAAGCAGCTACGAGATCTGAAGCGAATCGTCGATCAGAGGGAAAAATTCGTCCGCACAGTCCGTCTTCAACGTGATGGTGCAGCCCACTCCGTCCAAAAAAGTTCGAGCCGAACCTCATGCAATAGAGCTGGATGGCTCTCCCCTTGCACTGGTGTAGCCCAGACATTGCTCTTTCTAACTGCTAGTTGCCTCCCGTACTTAACCGTTATATGGCCGAGAAAACCACGACTCGAGCCCAAGTCAAAATTGAGATGATGTCCAACTTTGCGTCGCGCCAGCCTGCATTGTGAAGCGATGGCATAGCAACAGCCTGCATTGTGAAGCGATGGCATCCTTGAAGTGCTCAAAAACTGGCAAGATCCCGCAATAACATTGCTGTATAATTTTGATCTTGTACGCCTCTCTATAAAAAGAAAGCCCAATTTGAAAAAATGTGACAGTTTTCCCCCGCCAACCTAGAAACATGCTCTCATGCCGACACAATGCTTCTCGAGTAACAGGGTTCTCTGTTACGGGAACTCGTGCAGTACTCCGTAGTTAATAATTTGAAACTCACATTCTACATTCTCCATTAATGCATTTCTCATTGGGAAGACATGTGCTGTCAGGATCGAAATCCAGTTCGGTAGCATTCGCCACACATCTACGTTCGCTAGCCACATTGAAGAATACTGGAATCAATATCCTCAAATCGATCACTTCTAGAATTTATCCTCAAAGTTCAAAGTGAGCGTGGAATAGTCACACCCAGAATGCTTCCTTAAAAGCAGTAGGCGGGTGTTGCTAACGTCATTGGTGGAAGGACTGGATGGGGTGTGGTCAAACTGTCTTCCATAAATGACGATGGCAACCACCGCCCATCCCTAGCCGTCGCGCTCACTACGTTGTGCTGAGTTTTCCGACGGTTACGGGGCAGATGTCAACCGAAATTTCTCTAGCTATGAGAATTAGACGACGAGGCGGTTATGACGTGTGCCGGCCGTCGCCGGGAGATGGGCGTGTACGCTCGTCGTCTGTCCTCTCCTGCAAGGCGGTCTCTCGTAGGAAGAAGACACGTGAAGTGATTTCAGCCACGAGAGGTTAAGACTGAATGAGAACACCTTGAGGATTCACTATTCGTCCCTTATTTTGTGTCAGTGGCGACTGGAGGGTGAATTTTAAGGTTAACAGGATTTAAAGCTGAAATAAGGGGAAAGGTGGACGGCTTGAATAACAGGAATGATAGCTAGCCACGAAAACTACGCAAAGTGTTAGGTAGGTAGTCCACCCAGGTTATGAGATAAGATAAAAGATGAAGTCTTCGCCGTTTAACAATCCCATCGTGGTTGCGGCACGCATTCTACTTCCATTCAGAGTCGCAGTGGCTCATTGAATGCGATGTGGCCTATACAATGACTTGCGGGGGTCAGCCGATGTACAAGTCAGTGTTATTATCCTCTCAAACGAAACTCCTACCAATTTATGGGGAAGGGTAGAAGGCTTGGTTGGCCTGAGCGGGAAATCGACCGGAAGTTGACCGGAAGTCTACCAGGGTTTTGAGCTCAGGACCGCGCGAATCCCTGGTAGACTTCCGGTAGCGCGGTCCTGAGTGAATCCCTGGTCGA